CGCCGATGTCTCTCCGGCCCGCTCTCCCCGCGTCCGTCCCCGTAACTCGCCGCCCCTATTGTCTGGGCGCCGCCGCTCCCTCAGCCCCTCCCTCCCTTCCCTCCCCCCTGCCGCGGGCCGGACGGCTGTCAAACCTGGAGGCGGCTCCGGCGCCCCGCCTGCCGGGTCTGCGCCTTTCCTGTCGGTCTCCTGCCACCCTCCGCCCGCCCAGCATCGCTCCCCACCTTTTTTTGGCCGCGCGGCCGTTCCCTGACTGTCGCTTCACTTTCCAGGTGTTTGCTGATTTTCTCTTCCCACCCGGTTGTCATCCCTTACAACTTAACCATCCTTAGTTGTTGCCATTCTTTTTCTTTTTTTCTTCCTGTTTTAACTCCTCTCCGTTCTCTGTCCCCCTTTCCCTTTTTGCCCCCCGCCCCATAGACCGTTTTATTTTGTCTTTTCCTTAATTTAAATCCCCCCTCATTTTTCCCTCTCCACCCAAGAAAAAGGAAATCTAGCCTTTTCTGATTACTCACACGGAAATATCACCGGGAAGTTATATGTCTTAACTCTATTACTTCTTATGGATTTTAAGTTTGCACTTAGAAAATGTTGAACCCCTTAGTAAGTTCTTCCCGTGAGGAACAGCATAAAAGGTTGATTAGATTTCTACACAAACATTTAGGTAACTGCCATATATGTTGCAAACTGACCAGACCTCTATTAAAAGTATTCATATTTTTGTTCCTTTTACACTAAATAAACTTCTGACCAAGCTTCCTGTTGACTGTAATCCACTAATCTTTGTTCCTGCCCTGGCAAATAAAATTATATACGTTTCATGTGTACAATTTTATAATACGTCACCACCCAAGTCAAGTCTCTCTCCATCACCGTTTATCTCCCCATACCCTCTTCTACCTCCCCCCACCCCCTTTTCCCCCAACCGTGAGTATTTAAGTTTGATTTTACATATTTTTATGGCAAGTATTGGGGTTATTTTTCCCTCTTACATATCAGATTTTTTCAAAAAGTAAAGCACAGTTTTTTTATTTTTAAAATTAAATTATTTTTTATTGAATTTATTGGGGTGACATTGGTTAATAAAATTACATAGGTTTCAGGTGTACAGTTTTATAATACATCACCACCCCAAGTCAGTTCTCCTTCCATCACCATTTATCCTCCCTATACCCTCTTCAACCTCCCCCCACTCCCTTTCCCTCTGGTAATCACCATACTGTTGTCTGTTTCTAAGTGTTCGGGGATTTTTTTGCTTAATCCCTGCACCATTTTTACCTAGTCCCCCAACCCCTTTCCCCTTTGACAGCTATCAGTCTGTTCTCTGTCTCTATGAATCTGTGTTTGTTGTTAGGTATTGTCCCTTTTGAATTGTGACCAAACTATTAAAATATTACACATTTGTGTGTTTATCTTTTTAAACTGGGACGGAGCATTGTCATACTAAGTAATTCTAAATATCAAAAAGGTTTTAGGGATCCCTTTGCTTTCCTGATTACCTGTTATCTTTTGATAAGGCTGTCTTAAAATGCATTTATATTACTCTGGCACTAGGTACTTGGTGAAAAAGAGGCTACCTCAAATGTGCTTCCTGGCCATCAGTGGCCCAAAGGTTAATAAATAGTCCAAATGTCAGTGATCTAGAGAGGAATAGATATGCCTTTGTAGTTTTGTGTTTGTTTGATGTTACAGCCACTTTTATTGTCAATATTGAAATTGACAGAGGCACTGTCCTTATTGAAATATTGTAGAAACAAATTCTCGAAGTTCAAGTCCCCAGCATTGTGGCTCATTGAATTCAGTGACGTGTAAGAAAGAAATTCCTTTGCAACTTTATATGTTAAATTAAAATTACTGAATCATTTGCTACCAAGGTGGAAGATCATAGGTAATGAAAAGTTCTAATCACAGGAGGAATTATTAAAACCTTCGCTGGCAGAGGAGTGTGTCTAGTGCTTCTCCTATCTGTGTGTTCTTCGGTGTTTTATCAGAAGTGTTTTGTATTACAAGGCTCAGTAAACATTTGTTGAAAAATCTGGTTAATTTGTTCTCAAGAATTTCAATAGTCCTATTCCAGGACACTCAGCTCTCTTGATTTTTCAAAGACAGAAAAACATTTTCAGTTTTTATTGTGGAGAATTTTCTTGGGTATTTTCCAAGTTAAAATTTAAAGCACTGTAGCCATCTACTTGTTCTTTTTAAGTAATTATGTTTTTAATGTCCTTTTTCTTAATTCATTATCAAGATTGCCTGTAAGTTGCACAGTACTTTACTTAGAGATATTGATAATCATCATTCAAATTTCTTAATAATTTGGCAGTTATTTTAACTTCTTTTTAATGTTTTCAAATATTTGTTTAATTCCTTACACATTTTATGCATCAAACTCTACCTTTTTTTTCCTCTTGAGGTAGTGGAAAGGAAACACTGAAGAATAGGATCTCAAGATGAGCAAAAAGCCCCCAAATCGTCCCGGAATCACTTTTGAGATTGGTGCTCGTTTGGAGGCGCTGGACTACTTACAAAAATGGTATGGAAAATATGGAGCTCTTGACCCAGTGCACAGTATCTGTACTCTTACATATGTTGGTTCATTGCTCTTCTCCTGACAGTGGCAGGAGCACTAAAGTACTCACATTTTGAATATGCAGATTGTTTTTTAGTTTTCTTACTCTTCAGACTTTGCAGATTTAGCATTTGAACACTGTTGCTAGTCAGAATCCTTTAGTCACAATCATTTTAGGTGTTTGAGAACTGCAAATAATTGTCTAGAATATAAGATATAAAGAAAATATCAGTATCATTGTGTAGTTAACGTGATCTATATTGTGGTGTGAGGGAGGGGGACTAACCCAGATAACCAGCTTCACAGGTTTTGGATAACACTTTAAAACTATAGAACATGTTGATGGTTAGCACAGTAATTTTTTCACTGGCCCACCTAAAACCAAAAACCAAAAACCACAAACCACTTTACCTCCTCCTTCCCCAGAGTGCAGTGTCCTAAGGGCAGGTTGTTACTGCCTCTTGTACTAAATGGCAGTCCTTTCAGACCTTATTTCTTCTATTCTCACCATCTGTGATAAGTGGTGAATTCAGACACCTCAGTATATCCCTCATAATGGTGTGGGAAAAGTCAGTTACATGAGATAAAACCACCACCTGAAAAGGAAAGAAGGGGGCACAACACACAAAGGTCATCAGACCACAGTAAGGATAATGAAGGTCCTCTCTCATTTCACTTAGCTGGCCTCTATTTCTGCTCTCTGGGATGATGTCTCGTCGTTCTCAGCCCCCTACCCTCAGAAGGGCATTGGAGGGGTTACTCTCCTGGGCATGGCGCTGCCTCAGCTCCCCTTAAAGTCCATTTATTTATTTATTTTTAAATATATCTTTATTGATTTCAGAGAGAGGAAGGGAGAGAGAGAGAGAGAGAGATAGAAACATCAATGATGAGAGAGTTGTCACTGATCAGCTGTCTCCTGCATGCCCTGACTGGGGATAGAGCCCGCAACCCGGGTATGTGCCCTGACTGGGAATCGAACCGCGATCTGGATCCTAGGTTGATGCTCAACAGCTGAGCCACGCCCGGCTGGGCAAAGCCCATTTATTTTGATGATGGGTCAAACAGCTTAGCAACTCCAAGACTGTCTACCACGTTTTTTGACTTTTTCTCTCACTATAACTCCCTTCAAAACACCATGGGCATTTTGTAGATTTGCTTTTGATTCATTTATATTAAGTCAGTTTCCTGAGTTGGCAATGGCAGGCGGAGAAAATCTTGTTTTGTCATGAGATTTGACTTTAGACCATCTTGGGGCTTTTGTCTCTTAGCATCTAGTGTTAGAACTCTCCACATGTCTCTGACCCCCAGCCTAATGGATTCTGTCATGGCCTCTGTTTGAAACTACAGTTTGAGGTAGGAAGGCACAGCTCTTTGTCCCCAGGCCCTGGAGCCACATCTCAGTGGTTCCTTCTTTGTAGGGGACTTAATGGTTACTCTCATCAGGTGGAGAGTGTACACAGTAGTTCTCAAGTGGGCTTGGGAAGCACTTGGGAATGAGGCAGTAGCATCCCTCCTAGTCATAAAAATTATCTCCAGACATTGCCAAATGTTCCCTGGGGTAAGAAACACACCCCTGATTGAGAACCACTGCATTATAACGCTCAGTAAAGGGTGATGGCAGCTTGGTCGGTAATGGGCTGTCTTGGGTTCTGGTTTGACCAGAGGAAGCTTTTTAGTATGGAAGCACAATTTTGAATCTCTGTGTGATACAACAGTATGAGAGAGAGTACTTCTTATTTCTTTGGTGTGAATCTTAATCTTAAAGTTGTTTCTTTTTTTTAAGTTACTGACTTCTGAATTACTGGTTAATTCATATTAAATATTTTCTTAGGCTTCCAATCTGACCAAGTTTGATTGAACTGACATCCAGTTTTGGAGAAGCACAAAGTTTATTAGTTTTCTCAGTGACTTTCAGGGATATTAGCATAATTAACTTTGGTATTAGTAAGAAATTCACTTCAAGTGGGGAATTGTTTCCTTACTCAACCGTTGTTAAATTGATGATCCAGTAGTTAAAGTAAAAAGATGATAAGAAAACCACTTTTAAAATCAAGCCTGTGTACTTTTAGAGCATTTGGAGTTTCAGAGAACAAATGAAAATTGTAGCTTAAATTTTTTCATTGTCTTATGCTTCTCACCAAGAAATTTCTAAGTGCTTAGGTAAGGTGATAACAGGCATATGTACTCATTAATGAAGTTTAGAATGAATTTTAATTACCTTAATAATAACGGCCTCTTTAAAGTAAGTAAACTTTAGCCAAAATAATTACATGTGATAATTACTGAAACTTGTCATCAGTTTGATTTTTATGAGCTTATTTATATGAACATTTTAACATTCTGCTATAGTTTTGACACCTTAATTAAAAAGTAATTAAGAGTATTGTATATGCATATTCTAGGTAATTGAAAAAAACAATTTTCCTATTGTGACTTTGTCTATTAATGTCAGTAGTCTCAAGCACTTGGGTGGTGACCCTATAATTTAGTATTAAAGTGCTTTATCATAGGATAATAATTAATTGCTAAGATATACTGAGTTTTATATGGGGCACAAAAGAAGTTCAGTGAGACTTAACAGATTTTACTTCCAAATGAGATAAACTTTATTCATATTGTCCCATTTTTTTAAGGGCCGTTGTGTATTTCATGTAAATTTTACAAATTTTTGCTTTAATATTAGGTAAAAGAGTAGAATGATTGAGTGTTGAGAAAGTTTGATATTCTTGTGAGGACAAACTAGTCAATCCCTGAAAATACACTGAAATAGTTCCTTTCTCTCCCCCATGCCTCCTTGCCTCTCTCTTTCGTGTTCTCTTCTGTTGCATCCACATTGAATGCTTAGTCTTAAACCTTCAGTCATTTAGTTGGAAAGCGATTGAGTCCCTATTTGACATAAACGTCTTTCGTACTATTATAGACATTGGACAGGGAGAGAGGAGCAGGAATACAAATATTACTTACTGTCTGCACTCAAGACATTTATGATAAGTACTATACCTATTGTTAAGGAAATAACATCACATGTTGATGTTATTTTGAAGAGAAACACAGAGGGAAAGTTGTGATGAGCACCCAAAATGTCAATTTGTCCTATGTGTAAAAGGTTTTTCATGTATTAAAAAGGAAAATAATTTTACCATGTGCCCTATAAATAAAAGGATAAACTCTAAATTTATTGGACAGAAATAAACTGGAGGTTAAGCTCTCACTTTGGTTTAATAGAAAGACTCAATGTATTTTTCTTAGGAAAAGTACATTATTACTCTTTGAGTAAACCATATCCAACATTCTTTAAAGTTCATAAAGATATTTCAGCCTTGAAAAATACACTCTTCATTTTTAAGTAGTGATTTATTAGTTGTTTTCAAAGTAACTTACAGCTACATCAGAGAACTCATTGATGGTTTGATTATTCACTGATACTAATGAATGCAGGTCCTGAGAAATCATTATGAGAATCCAGTCGTATTCAGTTCCAGTATATGGTCTTTGATACTTGGATTTCTTCTAACCTTACTAAACCTAATTCCTACTGAGTAGTGTGGGTTGCTTTAATTTAAAAAAAAATTGTAGTTTTACTTAAAACATTTAATTTCTTTGTCTTTTAAAAGACCTTTAATATGCTAATGTTTACAGCTAACACAATCAGCCATTTTCTATCTTATCTCCATCATATTTTCCACCACAAGCTCTGCATCTCCAAACTCTCAGTTTTATAATCTCTTTAATGCAGTAGCATCATAGGAATGAACTTGGATACAAGTTTTTGATACATAATTATATTTGGGGAAAGGAAAGTTCAGAGTTGAAGATACTCTAGGTGGATTCTAAAGACAAAAGAGGCAGGGCAGGTTCAAATTTAGACTGTCACTTTTCTGATCCTGTAAATATGGGTAAGTCCTTGAACTTGGTTGGCTTCTCAGTAAAATAGAAGCAATGTTACCGGCATTTACTTACAGGATTGTTTTAAGGATCAGATAAAACAATGTGTTTAAATTTGCTTCAAATTCTATAAAATACATAATTATAAAGCACTGAAGTAAGTGCAAGGGAAGAGGGAGAGTTGAAAAATAAATCTTAGGGGATGTGAAGACTTAAGTGTATGTGTTTCAGTGTAGCTTTAGTCTTGACATAGGAATGGCCTGGAATGTAAAGGGAAAGTTATGTCATTGCACCAAACTATAATCCATCTTCTTGAGGTGATGATAAAATCGTTTCTGCAATTTTATGGTTTACAAAGCACCCTTGCAAATATTAAAGTATCTAATCATTTTGAATAGTGTTCAGTACGAAAAGTGATAAATTGTACTGGTTTTGAATACTGACTCAACTTTTGTCTTTTGATTGAAATTAAAGTAGTTACTCTATATCAAGTGATTTAATTATGAAAACAAATCAAGTAATATGCTCTGGTGTTACTTTTAAAAGGAATTTGAGATATAGAGTGCATTTAAAACATTCAGATGAGTTATGCTCTTCTGACTTTTTTTTGGGTATTTCTATTTAATTCTCTTCTAGATCTAAAGGAAAGGAAAATGAAAGATTAAAAATGTGGAGATGGCTCCAAGTATCAGAGTTTGATAGAACAGTATAAATTTGAATTGGCAAATGCTGTTTCCACACATTTGAAGTTTTTGAACTGTATGGAACATTTGCAAATGTGAGTTTTTAAAATGTTCATGAACAGAATTTTAATAGAGTGGGAAAGTTGAGGAAATTTAAAGTATAGCAAGTACACATACCTTCTAATCTAAAAGTACATATTTTCTGAATAGAAAGGGTTGCTTTTTTGTATCTGAATTTAGCTATTCAAAAGAAAACATCAGTAGAGATAAGTTGTACAATCCATATTTGGAGAAGAATGCTCTTGAAGGTAGTGGGCAATTCAAATTTAAAAACTGAAATCGTATTTAAATTATATTAGGTAAGTTTGAAATTTGTGGAAACCTTAGGTGAATACT